GGGGGGGGGGGGGGGGGGGGGGGGGGGGGGAGGGGAGAGGAGGGGAATAAGTTTGAGCGTTTTGCACACATGTCGTGAACGGAGCACCTTTTTGTTAAGATATGGACTTGGGGAGCGTTCAAACAATCTTGGCACAACCTACTTTTTGCCGGATTTAGAAGGGTAAGCAATTTCCAGTTTGTTTTTTGGATAATCTGTGAAAAAAGGAATCATCGGTACCCCAATCAGTGGATCTGTGCTATATGTAAGTGTTGGAAAGAGTAGCATTATTGCTGACAAAATTTCTCATTAAGCCGATTTCAGCATTCGAGTTGACCCTAGAAGCCTAAATGGCGAAGGCCTGATAGATCACAGCATGAAAGAAGAGTATGAGAAAAAAGAAGATAAGAATGAGATAAGACGTTTTGGTCCATTAATTCATATACGTCTTAACACTGCGACAGGACCTCGTCAGTATGACGGTCGTAACTCTGACTCGTGGAGGAGGAAGGAAAGAGGGGATGGAAGGAGGGTGAAAAGGGACAAGAAATACAGAAATTTGTTTTTATCTGTAAAAAAAGATCATAAACCACTTATTTGTTCGGTATGATGCTTTATTTGTGATTGACCTGTTTAGGTTGTCTGAATTTTAGTATATTGTTCTGAGGTGATAAAACATTAAAAATTTATCATTTTTATTAAATTTTCATTTCTTTCTCTAGCATTACATTAATGATTATTGCACATACAGTGTATCCGAACAGAATCGAGTACTTAAAAACATATCAAATAAGAATTAGTACTATCTGAAATGTCCCAAATTTCCTTGGCGACATATATTCCTTCAATGCTTTCGCAGTGCTAAAGCTGGTGCCATTATGGATAATCGAAGAAATTGATCCGCGTCACTTTCCACATTCCAAGGGGACTCAAGATTCTTGATAACCTCAAAAAAAATTGTCTTTTTGCGAAATTACGACTTTCGATTCTTAATAATTTTAAAGCCACGATTTTAAATTAAAAATTATCTTAGATGTTTTTAAAAGTTTTTTTAGAAGATTTTTTAAATTTTTTTTAGAATAAGGGAAATTTTTTGAATTTTTGAAAAATTTTAGAAAAAAACCAATGAAAAATTTTAGAATAAAGCTTCTCGAGGGTGCTCATAAGCGAACTGGCAGATTCCTCGATTTTCCAGTATGCATTAGTACCAATTTTTGAACGACGATAGAATCACTGGTACAGTGGCAGAAAATCTATCCACCGATCTCGAGAACAAGAGTAAATTTTGCCATCACCTTGCTTCTAAGCAATCCTGGGGGAAAATGAAGCCACACTTCAGCTTTTTCGATTAGTTGTGCCCTCAAGAAAATGAGTATGAGACGGCCTTGTATTTTAACTTAATTTCCAAAAAAAAATCAACGGAACATACGTGATATTGCAGATAAGCATACTTCGTGGAGGTGATACCCGTAGTAAATGTTCGATGCTCTTGCTCATATCGATGTTCTCCGTTTTTTTGATATAAATAATTGCTTGTGTGTAAAATGCACGATGTTTCATTGGGAAAAATTTACGAAGACCACTCTCTAGAACACTTCTAACGAGTATTTTTAGAGTTTTTTTGAAATATGCATTCCGGACTCTGACCGTTCCACATTTTGTTTTTTTTTTGGACCGTCCACTTGCTTTTCAGAATAAAGTTTCCACTTGTTTTTAAGATCACTGTTAGACCTTCTAATGGCTGCAGATTATTATCCTCGAGATGATAGATATAAATACGCCTGTGAAATTTTTGCGCATCTTACAAAATTTTTTTGGGTGATATCGGAGCTATCCGGCTCTCTTCTTTTGGGAAAAAGAAAAGCAACTACGAAAAAAAAAATTCGAAAATTCGAATTTTCAAAATTCGGAAAAAATTCGAAAATTTCCAAAGTTCGGAAATTCGAAAAATTCAAAAAAACTGAAATTTGACGAATTCTGAAGTAAACGAACTGTCTGGTTGCATTTTGCCGCACGTATAGGAGGAATCGATCACCGAACAGATAACATCGTTGATCGAGAATTTCAGTGGTTTGAAGTAATCCTCATCGAATGGGTCAAATCGTAGTTGCAATTCACTGACAGCCTCTTCAGTCATAATTCGCCTCAAATTACCCCAATCGCCGTGTCGGATGTGACGTGCACATAGTTCAGCTGCCTGTGAAAGCAAAAAAAATGTGAATTTGAAAATGTAATGATAAGTAGTGGCCATTAGAAAGTCGAATCATAAGTGGACGGTCCAAGTAGAGCAGCCGAAGTGGGTTAAACTGATAAATAATTCGCGGCCCATGGTAGGCCGAGCCGCAATTTCCGAAGCAACGGACGGTCCGGGCCGTGGAAAATACGGGTCGGCCGTAATCCATAAATTTTAATGTTGGGTGGAATTAATAGGCTGTTAATGTGGTACAAACCGTGCGACTTGTTGAAAAATCATGTACATTTTGCATGTTATTTTTGCTGCAACCGTCACACTAACGAGGTCCAGTTGCAGCACTGAACAGGAATGTATGCGACTTAATTGACCGAAAGATTCCTATTCAGGTTTTTTAATCCGATTTATCTTATTCGCCTTCCTTTTATTCCTTCCTTTTTAACCCTTACTTTTTACATAAACATACATCATCTAAAATTAAAATTACAGTATAAAGTGTGGAATGTGCAGGAATTGCTCTGCCAGTGTTTCATCCCTTAGCTGTAAACACAGACATTTAGGTCTCCCATATAGGGTAAGCCTATCTGTACTTGTACAGAGACTGTACAGTGGATGTACAGACACTTTCTTCATCGAAAAAAAAAACAGCAAAGACAAAGTTTCTCCCTTTGAATTCTGTTACCTAAACAATTGATTATAAAAAATACATGATTCCTGTGCAAAAAAGTGAAGAAGTGAGACACTTTTTAAAGGTTGAAGAGAAAATAATGAAGTAGAAAAGATCAAGAAGGGAAGAAAACGAAGAACCTGTATTGCACCATTAAGAAAACCCTCCACGGTGAATTCTTTTTCGAACAGTTTTCGATATCTGAATTGCGCAAATACATTGCCCAGCCTTCGTTGCAGATCAAATGTTGGTACCACATATTTCTGCTCTTCCAGTAAAATAAAAGGCTCGCTTTTGGTTTTTGACGTGCACGGCTCTGGTGGCGGAACAGCTGTCGCCTGAAATAATAATGTTGAAAGAAAAAAATATGCCAAAAAAACAAATTTTTTTTTAAAATTCTCGAATTTTTCGAAAAAATAAGGCTCACAAAAAACTCCCAGCACCCAAAGATTGCGAAAATGCCTCTGAAAAGAAAAACTATGCCAAAAAAGCACTTTTTTCCAAAATTCTCAAATTTTTCAAAAAAATAAGACTCACAAAAACTCCCAGCACCCAAAGACTGCAAAAGCGCCTCTGAAAAGAAAAACTATGCCAAAAAAACACCCTTTTTCTGAAATTCCCCAAATTTTCGAAAAAAAAAATCAGAACTACAAAAACTCTCAAATCAAAAAGACCGTTTCTCACCAAACCTCCAAATCACCAAGTTTTTCACCAA